AGAAGACTTAGATTTTATACCCAGCTCTCTCCCTAATTAAAATTTCCACATATTGTATTCATACTGACAGTTGCTACTATGTCTCAATTTCCCAGTCTGTGTAATAAAAGAGAGCTGTACTTCCTGTTTTTCATGTAACCTGGAGAACTGCTACGGACTTAGAAGAATTTAAAGCTTCCCATGCCATGGGGCACTGTGTGAAATAATTGCCATCATCAAAAACTCTTCCTCTGGGGCACCAGGATGGCTCAGTCAGTTAAGCATCCGGGTCTTGATTTCAGCTCAGGTCATGATCTCACAATTCGTGAGTTCAAGCCTCGTGTCCAGCTCTGCACTGACAGTGTGAAGCCTGCTTACGATTCTCTGTCACCCTGTCTCTGCCTCTCCCCCACCCTCTCTTTCAAGATAAATAAATAAACATTAAAAATAAAACTCTTCCTCAATTATTTTTTACCGAGAAATGCTAAATTTTTACATATCTTTCAATGTACCCTGTCATTAGTGGCCTTCAGACTAATTATATGGCAGAGCGATGTTGAGCCAGCTGCAACCACTAGCAAATGTCACACAGTCCTTAACCTCTGCAGGTTATAATCTTGTGGAAATTTATCTTTTCATTCTTATCTTTGAGCCATGTGAACATTCACTTTAGTCTGATGACACTAGTCCCCCTCATCCAAAGCTTCAACTTGGGGGCTTTCAGTGATCTACAGTCCACCGTGGCCCCGAAGCAGCTGCTCTTCCTTCTGACAGACATCAGAAGGGCAATAGCAGCCTACACTTCATCACAGCGCCTATGCCCTTCACCTCATTTGTCCCATCATGCAGGCATTTTATCATCTTAGAGCATCACAAGAAGAAAGGTGAATATCGCATGGCAAGATATTTTGAGAGAAAGACCATAGTCTCCAACTTTTATTATAGTATATTGTTGTAATTGTCCTCTTTTATTATTAGTTATTGTTGTTAATCTCGTACTGTGCTTAATTTATAAATCAAACTTTATCATAGGAAAAAAAAACAGTGTATATACGGTTCAATACCATCTGCAGTTTCAGGTATCCACTGAGGGTCTTAGAATGTACTCTCCTGTGCATAAGGGTAGCTACTATAATTTAATCATGTCCCAGAACATGCTGCCACCTCTAGGTGCCTTCCTAACCAAACATTCTTCCTTTGCAGCTACATTGATTTCACTGTCCCATAAACTCTTTTTTATCCTTAGGTCCTTATCGTGATCTCTTCCTGCTTGGTACATGACAACATGGTCTTCACCACATTATTTGTGACTTAGTTTCTTAGTCTAGTGTAGGCTGTGAATTGACCTTTGTTAATGTTTTTCTTGTGCTGACTTTGTGCTAAGCCCTTTCCATTAAAAAAGGTCCAAAAGATTACTATCCCTATTTTAGAGATGAGAAAACCAAAGCTTTGTAACTTTTTGTAACTTGCCATGTGTCAAATTGGAACAGTGTGGCTAAGTGCCCAGCTATAAATCTGGGGTTCTATTACTGTGGAGAAAGAGCAGAACAAGTATGGGGGACATTTAGCAGTCTCTGTAATAGGAGAGAAATGTAAAGTGGTCATGTAATAAAAGGGCAATTGTGATAAGTTTTAAGAAGGAAAAAGGGTTTGTATAAATAGTTCATGCCAGGGTTTTGTGGTGGGAAGTCATATAGAAAGGACTAGTAGACCTTGGGGGTGCCTGGGTGGCTCAGTCGGTTGAGCGTCCTACTTCCGCTCAGGTCATGATCTCACAGTTCATGGGTTCGAGCCCTGTGTTGGGCTCTGTGCTGACAGTTCAGAGCCTGGAGCCTGCTTCAGATTCTGTGTCTCCCTCTCTCTCAGCCCCTCCCCTGCTCACATTCTGTCTGTCTCTCTCTCTCTCTCTCTCTCAAAAATAAATAAACATTAAAAAAAAAAAAAGAAGTAGACCTTGAAGGTAGGTGCATTAGTATTCTATTGCTACGTAACAAGTTACCTCACAACACTCATGTTCATCTCACAATTGTAAAGGTCAGATGTTTGTCCTTCATGGTGTGGCTGGGTTCAGTGTTCATTATCATATTCTGAAATCAAGGTATCCAATGGACTCAGTTCTCATCTGGGGGCTCTGTGGGAAAATCTGTTTTCGAGATCATTCTCCTCCTCCTCCTCCTCCTCCTCCTCCTCCTCCTCCTCCTCCTCCTCCTTCTCCTCCTCCTTCTCCAGAGAGAGAAAGAACATGAGCACGTTAACAGGGCAGGGGCAGAGAGAGAGAGAGAGAGAAAGAGAGAGAGAGAGAATCTTAATCTTAAGCAAGCTCCACACTGGGTGTGGAGGAGGGGCTCAATCCCATGAGCCTGGGATCACACCCTGAGCTGAAGTCAACACTTGGATGCTCAACCAGCTGAGCCACCCAGGCACTCCCCCAAGATCATTCTACCTGTCAGAATTTAGTTCCTTGTAGCTGTGGGAATGAGGTCTACATTTCCCTGTTGTCAGCCAGGGTCTACTTGCAGTTCCTAGATGCAGCCTGCATTCCTTGACATGTGACCTCCTGCATCTTTAATCTATCCACAGCTTGTTAAATCCTTCCTGTGGTTCTAATCTTTAACTTCCTCATGACCAGCTGAAGAAAACTCTTTGCTTTAAAGGGGCTAATATGGGCACCTGGGAGGATCAGTTGGTTAAGCGTCCAACTCTTTTTTTAAAAAAATGTTTATTTATTTTCGAGACAGAGAGAGACAGAACATGAATGGGGGAGGAGCAGAGAGAAAGAGGGAGACACAGAATCCGAAGCAGGCTCCAGGCTCTGAGTTGTCAGCACAGAGCCCGACGCGGGGCTTGAACTCATGGACTGAGAGATCATGACCTGAGCTGAAGTCAGATGCTTAACTGACTGAGCCACCCAGGTGCCCCAAGCGTCCAACTCTTGATTTCAGCTCAGGTCATGATCATGGTTCGTGGGATCAAGCCCCGAATCAGGCTCTGCACTGACAGAGCAGAACCTGCTTGGCATTCTCTCTCTTTCCCTCTCTCTCTGCCCCTCCCCTTCTCGTGTTCTCTCTCTCTCTCTCTCAAAATAAATAAATAAACTTAGAAAAAAAGGACTGATGTGATTAGGCCAGACTTGCCTGGATAATCTCCTTATTTTAAGGTCAACTGTGCTATATAACATCACCATGTAGATAAAATCCATTACATTTGCAGTTCTGAGGATTATACCAGGGATAGGAAATCTAGGCAGACATCTTAGAATTTTACCTACCACAGTAGATAAGACTTAGACAACCAGAGAGAGGTTTTAGTTGGAAAAGAAATATAGGCAAAAGCTGAAAAGAAAAATTCCACCAGCAATTTTGTGACTGTTATGACTGCTCCAATCATAGTAACAGCTCCCTTTTCCTGAGGGTCTCCTAGGTGCTTTACACAAATTCATTTAACAATCCTTACATCAGCTCTGTAAGGGTGGTATCATTCTACTTTTACAAAGACAGAAATTCAGGGAGAGAGAAGAAAAGCTACTTGTCAGAGTTCTATCCCAATCAAATTGTGAAGCTGGGATTATGGCTTGAACTCTAGATGACTCCAGCTTTGTGCTCTTTGCACTATTTAACCCACCTTTCTGTGGGTCTGGATGAGGAAGGGGAAGGCAAGGAGGTTGGTCTGAACACAGACTGTGGAGGACGTTGACGTTAACATAGGTTAAAAGTTGCCATGGAAGATTTTGGATGGTGTGCATGAGTGTGGGGGAGGAGGTGGACAGACGTGGACACGGATGTGGATGGAGGGGAGCATGTGGCTTGGACATCCCATGTGGTATTTTAGGGAGGTTAAATATGGTTAGTCTGGAGTAGCCTGGAGTATAAAATTGGAGGCAGGGATGATATAGTTAGAAGTCTATTGCATGATTAAGTCTCTGAGTCTTGCTGCTGATTTGCAGGAAATACATGGGCCAGAAGAAAGTGTTAAACTACACTTAAGTATATAATTATTAAAGTGGGGGCAGAGTAAGGATTACAGAAAAAAGATCATATGTAATTCCATTGCCCATATATTACTATTACTATGTGAGATAATAAGCAGAGAAAACAGCTTTGGTAGCTGTGGTAGACTAGACAAAAATGTTATTAGTTTTGTAGACAGGATCCATCAGGCAAGGGAGTTCCTGCGAGCTGTTTAGTAATTAAGAGTTAGTCATGGTCAGACTAACATGGTTACTATCTGTGTAACTAGGGTCAGGTTCACAGGCCGGGGTGGTTGCACAGGGCCCTGCACTCATAAGAGCTTCACATTTGAGGTGTAATGCTCGTGGGTTATTGTCTTAATTTTTATAGTTTTATCTTTGAGGGGCCTCTGGGTGGCTCAGTCAGTTAAGAGTCTGACTTCGGCTCAGGTCATGATCTCATGGTTCATGAATTCAAGCCCCATATTGGTTGTCAGCGCAGAGCCTGCTTCTGATCCTCTTTCCTCTTCTTTTTCTGCCTCTCCCCCACTTGTTCTCTCTTTCTTTCTCTCTCTTTCTCAAAAAAAAAATAAAAAATAAAAAATAAAAACCAACTTTATCTTTGAGTTTGTGTTTTAGAAGTCCAATGAGACAATGGAGCACACATCGGGGGTTTGGAATCTTTTGCATGGTCCTGTCTCTCACCACCTCCTGTGGATGGGTTTTAGGCAGCCTGCTCCCCCAGCCTCTTGGTCACCTGCCCCCACTGACCTTTTCTTCCCCACTCCTGTCCAGTGACCACAGCTGGTTTCTGTTCTGCCTTAGGCAGGATTCCATGTGGGCCCCCCATAGCATCTAGGGGTGAGGGATTATGGTGGCCATTCCCAACTCAAGCTATCAGGGCCACAGCATGTTTGAGAGCTGTTAGGTGGCCATGGGTCTCTTTCCCTCCCTTGATCCAGTTACTTAGTGAGTCTCAGTGTTGAGGTAAAGATGTCTTTTGAGGTCACCCATCTGCTGAGGGTTGTGGAGGAAGGCCTATTGGAAGGGAAGATGCCTGGCTTGGTTTCCTTACCTTTAGCCGGTCCTAGGTGAAACTTTAGATGAACGACAGAGCTTCAGTTTCCTTATCTGTAAAATGGGGGAGAATAAAGTAGTATAAACTGCATATACCTCAGTTTGAATAAGTGTTTACACAGTGCCTAGAACTTATAAAGTATAAATAAATGTTAGCTTAAAATAGATATAGAATTCTGTTACCTATAGGATATGGAAGTAGTAGCCAAACAGTGACGATATTATGAGAAGAAAAAAATGCAGGATTTGGCAACATGCAGAGTAGAAATAGGGGATATATATTACCAGACAAAAATAGCTTCAAAAATTGCACAGGAAAACACACATAGTTTAGCCTCTTGGAAAATGTGGGACCTTGAGAAATAATTTCATTTGACTTGAGGAATGTCAGCTTGGTGGTATTAGTGAAAGTGTTACCTTGGAATGGGAAAGTTTGGGTGAAAGAGAATCAGAGACATATTCACAAGATGTCTTTAATATAAAGTGTGCTGTGAGAGGAATAGGTAATTTGGTTGTATCAAAATGTAAAACTTTTGATAAAACTTTTTCATTTTTACTTCCTTTCTAGGTTTCTGTCCTAGATATTTACACACGTGCACAACACAATGCTGGTCATGCAGAATTGTTTTTTGATACTGACAAACAGAATTTAATCTAAATGTCCACTAGTAGGAAATTGGTTATATAAATTGTTTGATTTAATGCAATGGAATACCATGCAGCCATTAAAAAAGAATGAAGTTAGACCTATATTTATCAATGATGAAAGATAACCAGGGGATTTTAATTAGGGGGAAAAATATCAAATTCCAGGAAAATGTTTAATCCCACTTACTTAGAAAATATACATGTACAAGAAAATGAATACCCAAAAGTCTAGAAGGCTACACACTAAACTATTAACAGTGAAAATCTCTGAGGAAGGGAGTGGGTGGAGTGTGTGTGTGAATGAATGGGACACTCATGTTACATGTGCATTCCTGTTATATGAATGTTTTACCAAAAATATTTCCACGTATTACTGAGAGGAAATGGAAAGAGTATTTTGAGGTAATTGTGCGAAGGGAAAAGTTGAGGAGGGGGCGGGGAGACCCTGATCTCTTGAGACTCCAGAGCCGCGGGAGGTGAGGAGACCCCGCCCCGCTGAGGTGATTCTGCAGAGGGGCGGAGCTCTGCAGAGCCCTGGCGGGAGGTGGCTCCTGGGGGCGGGGCTGCTGATTCCAGCCGCACGCTCCGCTCCCACCATGCCCTTATAAGGAGCGCCCCGCGTTAGGGCTCCGGAATCCGGTCGCAATCCCTGCGGCGCAGCCCCAATCCCAGGCCCCTCCCTTGGGAATGGGGGCGGGGCGGGTTCTTGGCGGCGCTGTAGCGAGGGCGGAGCATCTTGAAGTGGGACCAATAGGAGTGGCGGACCCGGTCTGAATGGTGCTGCCATTGGGCGCGGCTACATGAGAGGGCGGGGCGCCCGCGGGGCTGGTTACGCCGAGGGAAGCCCCGACTCCGTAGTTGCTGCTCGCAGTCGGTCTCTTTGCCGGTTCCCGGCCCAGCCATTCCCAATTCTCTGTAGCCAGCGGTTCGCCGCCTCCTGCTTGCCGCCGCGATGCCGGTGTTTCATACGCGCACGATCGAGAGCATTTTGGAGCCGGTGGCGCAGCAAATCTCCCACCTGGTGATCATGCACGAGGAAGGCGAGGTGGACGGCAAAGCCATCCCTGACCTCACCGCGCCGGTGGCTGCTGTGCAGGCGGCAGTCAGCAACCTTGTCCGGGTGAGCGCGCTAGGCCTGGAGTGGGGAGCGGGGTGAGGAGACATTCCAATGGCTCCCCTTTGCCGGCTTGCTGCCTGTGGCTTTGCGCGTGGGTTCTGCAGCCAGATGGCCGTGGGTTCTAATCCCAATCCCCCCACTCTGTGACCTTGAGCGAGCCCCTATGCTTCTCTGGGCCTCAGTTTCTTCATCCATAAAATGGGGGCAATCATAATAATGCCTGCCTTGCGGGTTTGTTGTGAAGATTCAGCGAGGTGGTATTTGTAAAGTGCCTAGCGCAGCTTGTGACCCACAGTAGGCGCTCAGTAAAGGATAGTTGTTAGGGTGTCTGATGGCCCCTTTCACTCAGCAGGCTGTCGCCCCTCGCGTTGACAGTCTTGCTCTCAGTTCCTTCTTAGGCCTCCCCAGTCTGGCCTATGTGCGGGCGCGCTCCCCTGCCTTTCCTTCGAGGGATTCTTATTTGAGCGGCCTTGTTCACCTTTCTAATACTTTTGCCCCTCACCCGGAGACCTCCCTCACCCACCACTCTTCCCCCTCGCGCTCCCCGAGTCGGGCTCTTTTGTCTACTTGTCTTACTTGCCACTCGTCTCTCGGTCTCCTCCTTCCTTCCTAGGCATTTCTACTTCTGCTCACACCTCTGGCACTCTCAAACACCGGGTAATTTCTTTATATTTCTTTATGCAATAATTCATGACCCCGAGTCCCTTTTCCACTTTTGCTTCACCCTGCGGCCTTTCATTTTATTCCCTCCCGTGGAGATTTCCACCTGGCTTTACCTGCTGTCAAACGGCTTCCTCCTTCTGGGGCCTTTCTAGACTTGGGGGCCCTCCTCCTCCGCCCCTCCTCCGGGCAGGAAGCAAGATGGAGTGTTGGGAGAGGCCTGTGGAATCTGGGATCTGCGGCCCCTGCCGGAGAGAGGCCCCTGCCGGAGAGGGGAACGGGGCGTCTCCTCCCCAACCCACAACTTTGCTGGGTGGCTGAGTGGCCCTGCAGACCTCTGTAGCCCACAGCTGTGACTAATAACAGAGGTGGTTCTTAGGGGAGGCGGAGCTCACTTCTGAAATGGGAAAAGAGGTGCTGTGACCAGCCTCCTAACACTTCCCTGACTAATATCACACTTCTTTCCCACCCTGGGTGGGTGACTCACTCAGACCCCTGCTGCCTCTAAGGGACAACTTTGGAAAAAGTTCATACTGTTCCCCCACTGAGCTGTGTAAATAGTGTATGTCAGGGTAGTTGGCAGCTTGGGAGGCAAGTGTGGGTCTGGGTGGGGCTTGGTTTACTTGTCTGATTAGAGCACTGTAATGCACTAGTGGCACTTTAGCCTCTGAAAGTCTACCTCAGTCTTTAGGGGTCCTTCTCAGCCAGTTCAAGAGACTGATAATTAGGAAGGGGGGGGACCCCACCGACTAAGTTCCTCAATTTCGTTCTGTATAGATTTAGTAAGAATCTATTCAGTAAGAATGCAGTATTCATTCAGAATATCTAGTTCTATATTGTTCTTGTTCTTTTTGTAACTAATTTTAATCTAAGACTCCAGAGTACATTCTTAAGTAGTGTTGTCTAACATGGCTGCATTCCAGACCTCCATTTTTCAACAAATAGGAAACAATGTAAAGAGACAGCGTAATAGTGTCCCCCCATGGAATACTTCAGGAAATGAAATCTTAAAACCACATGTTGCACTTGGAACAGAGCTAGTTTAGTCTAGGGGTTGATATCTGGTTAGGCTATTTAGAGAAAAGTTATTTATGAGCTTCATTGCATGAATTAATAGGAAGTGAATGCTGCCTAGGGAGCATTGTAATAAATCAGTGGTTCTCAGGTTGGGGTGTGCATCAGAATCACTAGAGGGGTTTTTAGGAATAAAGTTGTCCAGCTCCCATCTCAGACTTAACTGAGGAGCCTTTCATGGGGTAGTCTCAAGGCCTTTGTATTTTTCAGAAGCTTCATAGTTGGTTGTGATACACCCTTAGTTAGGAAACACTGCAAAGGTATCATGAGACAAATACAAAAGAAATAAGGCCAGTCATGAGCTGAAAAACAAACAAACAAACATATAGTTGCATCCCAACACATACAAAGAAAGGGACTTGAGGTTGGTGGTACATCTGAATTAGCAAAGAGAAAGTTGGGAGGATTGTGCTGATAGTTAAAATGAACAAAGGTAATGGTAAGTCATTTCCAGGTTACAACAAGTATATTGTCTGGACTAGCTCAGGAAGTAAGTTGGAGAGAAATTAGAGACGAAGTCAGTGTATGACATATGGCAGTTAAACAGAAGGCCTTATCCAGTCATCTTATCCAAGATGAACAAAGACAGTGGGAGGGAGGAGTGGATGAGAATAGTTTTTGAGGGAGACTGTATAGGTTGTGTTCTCTGGAGGCCAGGGGACCTACCCATTGCGTGGAATTCTCAGTGCCAACTGTGGCCCTTATATATATGCTACTGAGTGTTGTGATGAATTGTGTACATGTGTCAAGTTCTCAACTAGGTTGTGTCTGGAGAATAGGCCTCACAGGATGGCCCAATAAGTATTGCTGAAGGAAAGAAGGAACTGTAGGAGAGGAGATAAATTAGGAGAACTTTTAAGTTGGCTGGTCATGAAAAAATTGAGGACCTGGACTTTGAGTGTGGCAGTGAAAATGGAGAAGGAGTTAACTAGAAATATAGTAGAGGAAGAGTTAGTGGAACTTGATACTGGCGCCCTCAGGTTTTGCTAGGAAAAAACGTTGTGTTACTATAAAATAATGAAACTGATTTTTGAACAAATATTCTGGAATCTATATAATTCAGGCTTCTTTCATTTACCTTGGGAAATTATATCTTTATTCCAGTGCTTCTGTTTGAGAATTTCTCTCAGATTATTTACATATATGTGTCAAATTAGTCCAGAAACTTTTATCTGCGTGGGCATTCCTTAGCCCTACTATTTTATGTGTCGTTCTTGAGTCCAAGTGCCTTTTGGACATTTCCACAATGAAAGTTTACCAGATGAAGATGAACTTCTTGATTGTTAAGCATAGTCACTCACTTATCAAACAGGTGTTTATTGAGACTCCCTTTTAATGTCAAAACAGTAAGTATGATTCTGGGCAGAATAAGTAGAATACTAGATTGAAAGTCCCAAGTGACACTAAGGAAGTGAAGTACTGTGAAAGTTCAGAGGAAGGTGAGGTTACTTTCGGTGGGAGAATCGGGAAGGCTTCAAGGAGGACGTAGCATTTGAGACAGCTGGAATTTGAACATTTAAACATGTGGTAAGAAAGCATCCTAAGTGGAAAGAAT